ACTTTACTTCCTGGCTTATGGTTTAGATTTTTGATCAGTTCAATTTATCATCTGTTCCAACCTCTTCGATCAGTATTTCTGCTTTACGTCACACTTCATTGGAGAAGGGAGGCAACCCCATGGCATGTGGGGTAAGGTGCAGGGTAGTGAGTGGAAGGCAGCTGTGGCTGGGAGGACCCTGAACTGGCCAGCTGTAGTAACTGGTGAATGTGGGGGTGAAAGGCGTTTCTCAAATCTGAGGTGCAGCATAAGTAAAAGAGGCAATAGGGAGGTGATTTTGGAGGTGTCAAGAAGCTGAAATGGACCAAAGTTTACAGTGGGTAATGAAGGTCAATTAAAGTTAAGTTTTAAATACTGATGTTTAATTCTAGAGGTGTATTTGGTAGAGTGAAAAGATATTTGAATTAAGATGTATCAGAGACAGACAAGATGTCTTTGTATTTAATCACTGGAAGGCAGCATTAATCGGTGCATGTTGCATCCCCATCTATATCATCCTGCTCTTCAGTATTTCTGAGGATTATTCTCCAAGGACTCATGTTGGGAGAGCTTTCCAAAGTCTAAGTGATGTGAACATAAATTGTCACTTGACTTTGCAGTAGAAAATGTTTCCTCCTTGTTATCTTCACAGTAATAATTGGATAGAATTCCCTTGGCTATAGTCTCCATTTCTGGTAACTCTTTGCAGGTGATTTACCGTTATCAGATGATCTTGTGAACAGGACACTGATTCAGGGAGTGGGATTTCCATTCCCTGCGTTGCCACCTTCTGAGTGAGCTCAGATGAATTGTTTTGCCACTCAATACATTGGCCTCTAGCTGTAAAACGGAGCCGATGATTCTGATGTCTCTTAAAACCCTTCACATAAGAAATGGTATTGTTTTCTTATTGTTGTTGTTACTGCCTATCATCCCTGAGCTTTCTTTTCTCTTGCATGCGTACAAAGGCCCAGTTTCATCACATTGGCTACATCTAATTTGAGTTGTCCAATTTAATGCTATCATTTCACAGCAGGGCCATACAGAATACAGGTGGTTATAGCCAGATGGCAATGCAGAATATACTTTACCAAAAAGGAGCCGTAAATATTAACTCCCCGTCCCTGTGATATGTTTATGCGTAGCCTCTTCTTCCACCCTCCCCCATTTAGGGCATCACTCCCACAAGTCAAGTGGTAAAGTAAGCAGCTCTAGCCCAGATTCTCAACTAAGTATGGACTGAGCCACCTCATACAATGCCTGTGTATCATTGTGGATCTAGGTCTCTGTATATTTTCACACTGCCATTTGCTCACAAGGAAAATAACAAGCTTTTGTGCAAAGTCCATCCTGTAATTTCCTTTGAAGTACTGCCTTCTAGTTCTTGCTTTCTTTGTTGCCTACAAACATCTTGACAGCCACCTAAGATATTAGTGTGTTGAGCTTTCCACTGGACAAAATTATCTCATTATTTTATTTGTCTATCATGTGTATGTCTGTTGATACCCGTTTCTTGCCTTCTCATTAGTAGGCATTTATGGTCCATGCCTACAAGCCTTAGAACACTAGTTATGTCTGTTAAGAGTCATTTGAAGACACCTAACTTCCATTCTTGAAGTTTAATGAAAAAACTTGAGACTGATCTGTGCTTTGTGTTCTGTGAACATACAGAGTTTTCTGTGTGTAAGATGAATGTTCTTCAGAAGGGAAATATTATAACCTTGTACTATAAATTATATGTATTAAAGACACAAAAAAATTTATAGATCTTAAGAGCAGAGAACTGTGCATTTGAATTGAAGTTGAAAACTGCTATTTGACAATATGTGATACTACTTTTGTAGGTTTTACTTTTACATGCTTCTGTCAAATTAGTTGGTTGAAAGGGTCTATTCCATTGCCTGGGATTCCTGAAGGCCCCTGACACCAGTGGCTGAAGCAAGGAAGACTTACTTTTTGTAGGGGATGACCAGGTTATGAAACATTTAAACAAACTGAACATACAGAAGCCCATGGAACCTGATGAGATGTGTGCTGATTTCATTGCAAGGCCAGCCTGTTGTCTTTGAAAGGTCATGATGATCAAAGGAGGTTCCTGAGGACTGCAACAAAGCAAATGTCAATCCTATCTTCAAGAAGGAAGAAGATCCACAGAAGTACTCATTGATTTGCCTCACTTTGATTCCTGGAAGGTGATGGAGTGAATCCTTCTGGAAGCCATTTCCAGAAACATTAAGGATAAAAAAGTGATTGAGAGTACTCAGCATGGATTTATAGAGGGGAGATCATGCCTGACCAACCTGACAGCCTTCCATAATGAGATGACTGGCTTGGTAGATGAGGGGAAAGCAACGGCTGTTATGTTGACTTACAAGGCTTTTGATGCTATCTTCCGTAACATCGTGGTAGACTGATGGAATATGGGCTAGATAGTGAGGTGGCCTGTGAGGATTGTTTATAATCAGTGAATATGACTTTGCAATGAATCTGTTGCATTATATTCTGTGTCTTTAGCATTAGTCAGCAGTGCTCTCTGCTTACTTTCATGGACAGTACATGTTTATAAGTGCCTAGTGATATACTACACATTAGATAATTAACATGTGTGTTAATACACTAATACTTGTTCTATATATGATAAAATATTTCCCATCTAGATATATGTATCTTTCCCATGTGAATGGTTTGGCTTCTGTATCATAATTTCCTAAAAGCTATACTAATTTTTACACTGAAGGATATTTCCCATCCATTAGAGTGTCTACCAGACTATTTTGTAATTGGGAACTCAGTTCAGTTGAAAAGAGATGTACATTCTTGGGTGCTCACATCAGAAGCAAGAACCCTGGGGTATGGGTGTCCCATTAGTCACATAAAAACATGTAGAGGTGCTTGGAGCTTTAGTTCAACTTAAATAAGTAGTGAGGAGTGCAAGCTGCATGCATACTTAAAAATTGCTAAAATTTTGTGTGCAGATGGCACTTGAAGCAATGTGTTTCAGGATCAGTAGTCCTGCTTTACTGTTTCTTTTTCATCAAGGTTAGAGAACTAATGTCCTTTCCAGAGAGATCTAAAGAGAAAAAAGAGGTCTGTCTTATTGGTGACCACCTCTATTTTTTTTTTTTTTCAGCTGTATAGAGGATGCAGTGGTACTACTGAAGGTGCCCTTCTTGAAAATAGGTGTTTTTTCCCATTGCTGCCGAAAGGACTGAAGTTAAGCTGTTGTCAGCCAAAATAATGGTTCATGAGAACATAGGGAATAGTCATCTCAGTTGATAGCATCTGGACATTGCTCCTCTGTGAGGACAAACATTGTTATGTTGCTTCTGTGTAGAGATATCTTTTGGATGATGGCAACAACAATCTCGAAAGGTCAGCAGAGAACA